GGTTGAGTTTCTGGACAGAGCTTAGTTTTCCCAGTAAAAGTGTATGTCAACTTAGACAAAGTATTGCTAAACAAGGAGGCTCACTTGAACCTTAGTAGCCAAGGCTTATATTGGAAGTCAGACATACAGATAGGGAGCATGTGCATGAGGTCAAACCTGTACCATTGTGGCCCAAGGCCAGCACCACAAGTTAATTCAGAAAAACTGATTGGGCTTCCCGGAGGTGACATTCAATTCGGGCCATGGACTTTCTCTCTTAGAACCATGCCCCAATTTATCCATAACTTGGTGGAGAAGGCTCCAAGGATGGTAAATGTTGCTGTGACTTATTCGAACGAAGCCTCAATGGGCCAAGTGTTGGCACTGTGCCAGGGTGGAGCTGGTTCCTCCAACCCCTGCTGAGATCCATCCCTGTAGCTATTCAGAGCCTGAAAAAAATAGTCAATAGTGCTCACTGGTTGCTTCAAACAGCTCACAGTTGAGGAAGCTCTGAAGTGTGGATGTGGTTTTGTATTGGCGAGATTGTAGGCAAACCAGGCCTCATTGTTTATGATGTTTGAAGGCCCAGTCTTTAACATCTGATTCTATTTGGTTTGCTATTTGAGTTTTCTTGGACCATGTTTGATCAGTCTACTCTAATAAAGCAGATCATTCTTTAAAAAAACACCTGATTGGAGTGGCACAAGGCCTCACTTAAGCCAAGATACCCTCGATGTGCCAGGATACTGTACGAGCTAAGAGGTTCTCTCAGGACCATTCCAGGGCCATACATTTCTCTTGAATGTGTCAGGTACGAAAAACCCGAGCCTGCTTATACTTTTTCAGTAATGTTTATTTTTTTTGTCCTATTTTATAAAAGTAATGTCATTACCTCATTGTAATGTAGCATTATCTGAAGTTGGAAGTTGCTTTTATGAGATTTTGAGGCATTTCTTTTGAAAAAAAAATTTAAAGCAAAATATAGGCAAAAACTTGTGAAAAAAATCAAGCCTGCGTTATATTTGTAACTTAATCTACCAGAGCTCTTTATATGGGTCAAGTTATAACAGCTTTTGAAGAGACAGATAAGTATTAATAAAATGACAAGATAGCCGAAGACAAAATAGCTGTATAAGCAAATGTGGTACCCCACCCTTAAATGATACAGTATCTGGGGTCTTAAAGGCTTGAACTTAAACAAGCGACCATCTAGCAGGAAAGCAACAAAGCCCACATGGAAGATGCACAGCAGTCATGAGCACCCGACTGGCTCGTCTCCTCATGACCCTTTTGTAAGGGGAAGTCCAGTTGGCTAAAGATGGGCTTTGGGTCCCCAGTCTGCACTCCCCCTCATTCACGATGATGATTTTTTGTTCTGGATCCTTGATGCCTGATACCTGATCCCAT